TTAACACAGTGTTGTAAGGTTTATCATATTGTATATTAGTGTACTATAACTTTATAGCCAAATCCTGTCCCATAAATATACTATATTTTTATTTATAATTTATCAGTTGATGGTCATTTTTGTTGTTTCTATTTTATAATACTTTTATGAATTTCCTTTTATGAATGAACATTTATTACAGGTTTGTGTATAAATTTTTTTTTCCATTCTCAGCTACTTATCTCTGAGCTGAAATTACTAAGTTATATGGTAATAGTTTAACCTTTTGAAGCACTGTCAAACTCTTTCCAAAGCAGCTGTACTGTTTTGCATTCCCATAAGCAGTATGTAAGGGTTTTACCTGCTCTCCAAACCCCTGTACCTTTTCCTCACAGTTCTTAGGCCACTGCCTGGCACCTATGCATTTATTTATGACTCAGTCTTCCATCAGATGTGAGCTCTGAGACCTAGGACTTGTCCCCTCTCTGCAAGGGCTTGTCTCACTGCTGTAACGCCAACACCACTCAGTATGGGCCAAAGTAAAACACTCAAGAAATACCTTCAAGCCAGGTGCCAATGGCTCATGCCTTAATCCTAGCTACTCAGGAGGCTGAGATCTGAAGATCACAGTTCAAAACTAGCCCCAGCAGAAAAGTCTGTGAGACTAATCTCCAGTAAACCATCAGAAAACCAGAAGTGGTGCTGTGGCTCAAGTGGCAGAGTGCTAGCCTTGAGCTAAAGAGCTGAGGGACAGCGCCCAGGCCCAGAGTTCAAGCCCCGCAACCAACAACAACAACAAAAAAAGTACCTTCAGCTTGGTGAATATATAGTAATGTCTACACTTCTGTTAAAAAATCTGGAAATGGGCTGGGAAGGTGGCTCAGTGGTAGAGCGCTTGCCTTGCATGCCCGAGGCCCTGGGTTCGATTCCTCAGCACCACATAAGCGAAAAGAAAAAAGCCAGAAGTGACGCTGTGGCTCCAGTGGTAGAATGCTAGCCTTGAGCACAAAGAGGCTCAGGGATAGCACCTAGGCCCTGAGTTTAAGCCTCCGGACCAGCAAAACAAAAAACAAGAACAAAAAAACCAAACTGGAAACACTATGACAGAACTTTGAACAGTAGTGACAATCCTATTGGCCCCTCTTCAGTGCCAACTTTTCCATACTCCCTTGTCTGTACTTGTATATATGTAATACAAGTGGAGATGAGGAAAGAATATAGTTTGATCACTACCACTTGAGCCACAGCTCCACTTCTACTGTTTTGGTGGCTAATTAGAGATAAGAGTCTTATGGACTTTCATACCCAAGCTGGCTTCAAACCTTGATCTTCAGATTTCAGCCTCCCAAGTAGCTAGTATTATAGGCATGAGCTACTGTCTCTCAACAATTTTAGCCTTAAGAAAGAAATATGTAAGGGGTTATATTACAGTTTAATTATTATTCAACATGGTGCCTAGGAAAACAGTGCCAATATATATGTAAGTTGTCTTTAAAAAAAAATCTGCTACAGTGTTTTATGTAATGTATATATCACCATTTGTTTATCCATAGTCCTTTTTTTTTTTTTTTTGCCAGTCCTGGAGCTTGAACTCAGGGCCTAGGTACTGTTCCTGAGCTTCTTTTGCCAAGGCTAGCCCTTTACCACTTGAGCCACAGAGCCACTTCTAGCTTTTTCTGTTTATGTGGGGCTGAGGAATTGAACCCAGGGCTTCATGCATGCTAGGTAAGCACTCTACCACTGAGCCACATTCCCAGCCCCAGTTGCCCTAATTTTAAAATCACAAATATCTTTTGGAGCGACTAATACTTGAAAAGTATAGTTTTTTTTTTGTTTTTGTTTTTTTTGGGTCCAGTCGTGGGGCCTTGAACTCTGGGCCTGGGCGCTGACCCTCAGCTTTTCAGCTCAAGGCTAGCGCTCTACAACTTGAGCCACAGCGCCACTTCCGGCTTTTTTCTTTTTTCTTATGTGGTGCTGAGGAATCGAACCCAGGGCCTCAGGCATGCAAGGCACGCGCTCTACCAGTGAGCCATCTTCCCAGCCCCGAAAAGTATAGTTTTTAAGTGTTTTAAAATGTAATATTATGATAGTGATGGCATGGTACTGGATTGTCCCAAGTAGTCAGAAATGATTTTACAGCAAAATCTTTAATATTACTTTGAGTGAGATAATCCTTATCTGCTAACCTCCACCTAGAGAGGAAGCATGGCTTGAAGCAGTGGCACACAGCTGTCATCCCCAGCAGCATGAATGCTAGTAGGAGGAACACATAACCTGTTCAGGCATAAACTGAGGCCTTAATTGGAAAATAACTGAGGCTAAGGAGTAGAGTACCTGTGGAGTAAATTTTGAGGTCTTGGGTTCTTCTGTTTAGACAGATACAGACAGGTAGAATGAATTCTGGTTATAAAATAGAGTGTCAAACATTTTAGAATTTACACCTTTTTTATTTGGGGGGGATGTCCTGTCTACCAATCAGTGTTCATACCTATGTAATGCCTCTGGGGCATTAGGAATTGAAAGGTCTTGAAGAAAGAACTGAAACCCTGTACTTGTTTTGTTTTCACTTACTGTTTGCTTCCAGTAGATGGCACCAAATACTCTGAAGTCCTTCACAGTACTGATGCCTAGCTGCTGGTAGTGGCTAAATGATCTTTCTACCAGGAGGAAACAAAAACAGTACATTCTACAGTCTTAGCCTCTGTTTATATAACTTAATGTCTTCCCTTGGAGTTTAAGATAAGATAGACTTGTGTTTTTTATTTGCATCTCTGACTCAGATTTCAGCATCCCTCCCCACTTTTTGCTTAAAGTGTGATTTTCAATCAGGGTAATTCTAGAAGCATGGGTCATGAGAATTGTAAGGAAAGGAGAAAAAGAATAAAGGGATATGATATGCTAAAGGTTCATAAGGAGGGCTTGGAGGTATGCCTCAAGTGGTAGAACATTTTGAGTTCAAATGTCACTTCTACCCAACATTTGCTTTGCAAATGTTCACAATACAATTTAAGAAAAATTGTTATAATGAAACAAAGTACTTGTAGTAATATCAGATGGGTACTTGCATAGGATTGCATGCATTTCATTGACTTTCATATTTATTTTACAAATAACCTGAAGTAAAAAATACTGTGAAACTGTTCACCCCCCATTCTCATTTCTAATTTCTTCTGTGCATTCATGAAATATTTTGCCTTGAGCATGTGAGTTTAGAGTTCTACTATAGCATTAGCTTTTAGATACAATTTATCATTAATGTGTTTTCTACATGTCAGAGTGGTTTACTACATGTTTTACTTGGTTCAGTTTATTTAATCTTAATGGATCTGTGAGCTATTCAGACAGCTACTTTAAAATTTTCCCACCATAATTACACATACCATTTTTTTTTCACCCTGTGGTTCTGGAGATTTTGTCTTTACCTAGGGCTAGAGTGTCAGTGTTTTATGTCTCTCTCTGGAAATCTGTTTATCTGCCATGTCTTTGGTACAACTACCAGCTAGAGGTTAGTAGTCTGCTTAGTAGAGTGGGATAGGTTTAAGTTCAATTCCCATTTCTCCATTCCATATGAATGGGGAAGGAAACTCATTTAGCCTCTGAGTCTGATACTGCTTTTACAAAATGTAGATCATTAACATGCCCTGGCCTACCTCATAGGTTTACATGGGCAATTAGAAATAATGTAGGTAGGTAGTGGAACTGTGCCTCAGTTTTGAGGGAAAAAGAAACCAGTGCCCAGGCCCTGAGTCCAATATACTGACACAATAAATAATAAAAAAAAAATAGTGGGTAAATTATTTGCAATAGAGAGAGCCATTACAATCATATTGGCAGCTGTAATAAGTTTTATTACATGTTCATGCCTTGCTAGATGCAATTTTGGGAACTTGGCTCATCAGTAGCTCTTTCTACTTTTTAAAGCTCACAAGAGCTTTCATTTGAAACAATCTTGATAGTTTGAGGGGTTACATAGGTCAGTTTTTTGGTACCATCTCCCCACAGGCAGATAACATTGTCCACTATTGTGAAAAGGGAGCATTCTGAATGTTTTCATCTAAAATGAAAATGAAAATCCCTAAAAGATGCCAGCTAAAGAATCTTGGGGTTCAATAGGTTTAAGAATTTTTTTTAAGCCCTCTCACATGATTGTACTTAGTTCTTACTACCACCTGGGGAGGGGGCAGGGAACTGGGAGCGCCTTTGGAGAGGAATTCAACGTTGCATACTGTAACCCCATTCCTGCACTTTTTGAATCAGAGAAAACACTGGGCAGATGCATTTAAGACCCGCCCTGCTTCTCCTTTCCTGCCCCCCAGCCACGTGGCGCTTGTCGGAGTCTGGCCACTGGCCACTTCGCAGGCTCGGCTCCCTGATCTGGAGGAAGCTTGGCTGGGCATTAGACCAAGGCAAGGCTTCTGCCCCAAGCAGACGGTGCAAGGGGTCAACCATCCATCCATTCAAGGGGTGCCTGGCGAGTACCTAAAGTTTTCCCTGGAGACAGGTCTGGCAACAGGTCCGAAGCAAGGCCAGATGAAGCCTAGCTCCGTGACAGCCAGTGGATCTGCGCTGCCCAGCCAGTGCTGGACATGGGAAGGAGAAGCCGGGCTGCAGACCACTAGTCACTCCGGGGTCCCGGGGCCTAAAGGAAGGTGACATCATCGTAGCTGACAGCGTAGTTTCCAAAGGCTTCACCAATAGGACGCGGGCGAAGTGGCTTGCCTTCTACGGCTCTTGGCCAATGTTAACAAAGCAAAAGGGGGCCCGGTTTTCGGTATAGAACCAATAGAAAACGGAAGAAGCACGAGGCGGAGTTGCCAATTGTGTCACCAATTGGGGAGAGAGGGTGGAGCCCGGGCCTTGTCAAGTGTGGCCAACCAGGGAGAGGAGCGGACTTTGGGGGTGGAGCCGTGGAGCCCCCGCCCAATCGCACAAGGGTGGGGGCGGGGCATCTCCGGGGGTGCCCAATGAGGGACGCTGCCAGAGCAGGCCTGTCAAGAGAAGGGGCTGGGGGCGGGGGGACGGTGAGTCGGGGATAAACACTCGGCGGCGGTGGCGGCGGCTGCTCTGCTCGGGGTTCTGTCACGGTGTTGGCAGTGCCCGGCTCTCCGGCCCCCTCCCCCTCTCCCGCCCGGCGAGGGTGGTCACCGGAGAGGCTCCTCTGCCTTGCTCAGCGGAGCGGGTCTACGGAGGGGCGCGGGTGTCCGGCGGCGGCAGTGAGCCAGTGGGCAGTGGGGGTTGGTCCCGTGGCTCCGGCCCCCGGTGCAGAATGGCGGCGGCGGTTCGAATGAACATCCAGATGCTACTGGAGGCGGCCGACTATCTGGAGCGGCGGGAGAGAGGTGCACGGGGATGGAGGAGGGTCTGGTCCAAGCCCGGGCGGGGGGTGGGTGCTGCGGGGTCCAGCCGTGGGGTCGGGGCGCCTCGCCTGTGCGAGGGTGGTTGGAGGCACGGAGAGCGCGACCGCGAGCGCTCCCAACCCCTCCGGCTCTCCCCACGCGCGCTCCGAAAGGAGGCCGCCACTGCCCCTAAAAGCTGTGAGTGGGGGTGAGAGAGGGGCTGCGGTCCCTGTCCCGAGCGCTGCCGCCTCCCCATGCCCCCGCGACTAGGGGGCCGGGGACCTCGCCGCCCGCCCCCTCGGGTTTGCCTCACCTGAGCCCGGTCCCCTGGGAGGAGCACCAGGGTCTCCCCAGACCCGGCCCGCCGTGTCTGCCCCACACCCCCACCTTCACCGGGAGACTGGTCCCCACTGGACCCACCAACCTGCGGGACGTTGCCGCCGGGAGACCCCAGGCCGGGCGAGCGCAGCCACTGGCTGTGTCTTCCCCAACAATGAGCAGCTGGAATCTTCCTTACACCTGCTCCGAACTGAGGGCATTCACACAATTAAAAACAAAACAAAAAGAAGAAGAAAACCCAACATCATTGTTCTCAGAATTCCACCTTACTCTGTTACTGAGTTATTTTCTACAATGTTCATGTAAAGATAAAGAAATGAAAAAAAAAAAAAACCGAAACACTGGGTTGGGGAGAGAGTATTAAATGTTCTGGACTCATTCATTAACTGGATCCTCCGGTTTTCTAGAAGCTGAGCATGGTTATGCCTCCATGTTACCATACAATAACAAGGACAGAGGTGCCTTAAAACGGAGGAACAAATCTAAGAAGAACAACAGCAGTAGCAGGTAATTTGGTAAATATTCCTCCTTCTCTTTTAGATTATGCTGTAAGGTAACAAATGGAAGATTGAGGGTTGTCTATTTGGATCATAACCTGGTAAATACATTAAGTAGTGAACATGCACACATGGTCATATGCCATGAAAGGAAGCAGCTCCTCTGTTTAAGTTGAGGGGACTGAAAAGAACAAGGAAATATGGATGTCTAAATCTTTTTTAAAATGAACTTAAAAAATTGTTTTTTGGTCCCTTCTGGAAAAGAAAAAGGAAATTTCAAATGATATTAGCAATAAGGACAGTATTTTTCCCCTTCATTTGTTGTAGATTCTGGGCAAAAGTATCTGACTTGGCATAAATACTAAGATTTTATTTTGACATGAAAAATCAAACAGTTGTTTGATCATCTAATTTGTCCTATCTATTAATAATGGTAAAGGGGATAGAGGGTAAGATCTTCCTCTCAGTTGATGGAGCAACATTTAATATTAAGTTATTAATATGTTATAAAACTTTTTCATATTAGCCTAATAGATTGACATATAATTCTTTAAAGCTGTGAATCTCACTGGAGAATATTTGGCCAGTGGTGAGAAAAATCACATATTAGCATTCTAAGCATAAATTTGTGGTATTGTATATTGTCCCTCTCCTTGCCCTGAAAATATTAGTTGGCTAGGCAATCTTATTTTACTAAATCTACTCAATTATCCCTTTCATATCAGTAAATTAAAATCTTTGATTTTTTTCATTATTGACTTAGAATCCAAATCTTCCCCTCACCAAGTAACTATATGGGTTGCCATTGTGGCTTAATACAAACTGACCATTAAACACCAGGAAATTCCCACTTAAATTTAAAAGTCACTCATTCTTGGTATATATTTTGTCCTTGGCTCACCACATGGTCCTTAGTGTTATGGAATCACAGGATGTGAGTAGCATGCTTTGGGCTGCACTCTTGACTAAGAAGACACATAAAGGTGAACCTGGTAATTATCTGGTAGATTTTCCTTGTCCGACCATCTTGGCATAACCTGAAGGTGGTAGCCAGTAGTTCCATGCATGGGTACAAAGGCCCTTTAAGAAAGATAGTAATACTAATTTGTATCATGTAATAGTATCAAAACAAGCTGAGTTGCATTTTGTCACGGTATTTTTAACTATTTGCTTAGAAGAACTTTGAGGCCTTTCATTTTGTTTTTCATTTTGTTTGCTTTTATTTTTGGCAACGCATGATTTGAGAAGAATCAGCCTTGTTAGTAATGTAGGCTTAGTATCTTGAAACTTTTTTTCCCTGAGTTCATAGGAAGGTTGGGTATGTGTGTGGGAGATATTCTGTAGTGGGAGTGAAAAAGGTGATGAACAGAACTCATCTAATCACTGTGTGTCGTGTGTGTGTGTGTGTGTGTGTGTGTGTGTGTGTGTGTGTGTGTGTGTGTGTGTGTATGTGTGTGTGTGTGTGTGTGTGTGTGTGTGTGTGTGTGCGTTCGCGCGCATGCTGGGGCTTGAACCCAGGGCCTGAATGCTGTCCCTGAGCTGTTTTGCTCAAGGCTAGCACTACGAGTAGTTGAGCCACACTTCTACTTCTGGCTTTTTGGAGATTAATTGGAGAGCTTCACAGACTTTTTCTGCCAAAGCTGGCTTTGAACGGGATCCGCAGATCACAACCTCCTGAGTAGCTTTGCCTGATGAGTAAAAGGGAGTATATTTTCCCTTGGACAGTTAAAAAAAAAAAAGGTTTAGCAGTGGTATTAAACTTCTTGGGAAGGGCTGGGAAGGTGGCTCAGTGGTAGAGCGCTTGCCTTGCATGCCTGAGGCCCTGGGTTCAATTCCTCAGCGCCACATAAGCAAAAAGACAAAAGCTGGGAGTGGTGCTGTGGCTCAAGTGGTAGAGCGCTAGCCTTGAGCTGAAGAGCTGAGGGACAGTGCCCAGGCCCAGAGTTCAGGCCCCACGACCGGACCCAAAAAAAAATAAAGAAATAAAAAAAAAATAAACTTCTTGGGAAGTTTATTTTAAAACTCCAAAAGAACAAAAAATATCAACAAAAACAAATATTGGATCATCTAGAGAGACAATAGTATATAGAAAGACTATTTTCTAATTGCTCTGATTTTTAAAATCAATAATTATTTAAAATTGAAATATAGAGATTTGTTTTCTTCATTTATTTCTTCCTTAATTTCCTTGCTTATATTTAAGAGACAAGGTCTTGTCCAGGCTAATCATCCTTTTGCCTCAGCCACTCAAGTAGCTGGAACTGCAGGCATGTGTATTTTCTTACATTAGTAAAGCAGGCTCTAACATGTAAAAGAGGAAGTTCAAGACTTGACCATCAAGTTCTTGTATCCCACAGTGCCTATAAGTAACCCGATGTGAGGAGTGTTTTGTTTTGTTTTTTAACCTAAGGACTATCCTATTTCCCAGATATACTTATGGTTTAGGTTTGTTTTTTAACAACTTTTTTTTTCAGTCATGAGGCTTGAATCCAAGGTCTAGATGCTGTCCCTAGCTTTTTTGCTCAAGATTAGCATTCTACCACTTTGAGCCTCAGCTCTACTTGGTGGTTAACTGGAAATAAGAGTCTCACTAGACATTCCTGCCCAGGCTTGCTTCAAGTCATGATCCTCAGATATCAGCCTCCTGAGTAGCTAGGATTACAGGCATGAGCCACTGGCATCTGGCTAGAATTTACTTTTAAATGGTGAAATTACCAAATCTTCAATAATCACATGAAAAATTGTGTGATACAGTGTATGTATATGTATATATACATTATTTGTAATATATTCACACTATATACAACATATACAACATATAATATTATATATGTGTATGTATGTGTGTGTGTGTGTGTGTGTGTGTATATATATATATATATATATATATATATGTATATATATGTTTGTGTGTGCCTCTACTGAGTCTTGAACTTAGAGCCTCACAGTTTAGTTTTGCTTAGCTTTTCCAGTCAAAGCTGGTACTCTATCATTTTAGCCACACTTCCACTTCTAGCTTTCTGGTAGTTAATTGGAAAAAAGTGTCTCTCAGATTTGTCTGTATGAGCTGACTTTAAACAAGATCCTCAGATCTCAGTTTCCTGAGTAGCTAGGATTACAAGCATGAGCCATTGGCACTTAGCAAGCTATATATTTTTATACTGCCTTAACCTTTGACCTAATCACTGTAAAATGGTCTGCTTTTTTTCATTTATGACTAATTCCATTTTTTAAAAAAATCAAACCTAGTACACTTTAGTAATGTCCTAGCTGTTAGATAAAAGACTCCCTTTAAAAACATCATATTGGGGCTGGGAAGGTGGCTCAGTGGTAGAGCGCTTGCCTTGCATGCCCGAGGCCCTGGGTTCGATTCCTCAGCACCACATAAGCAAAACAAAAAAGCCGGAAGTGGCGCTGTGGCTCAAGTGGTAGAGCACTGGCCTTGAGCTAAAAAGCTGAGGGACAGCGCTCAGGCCCCACAACCGGACCAAAAATAAATAAATAAATAAAAACATCATGTTGCTGGTGCTGGTGGCTCATGCCTATCATCCTAGCTACTTAGCTGAGGATCACAGTTGGAAGTCAGCCCCCGCAGACTTTTATCTCCAATAAACCACTTAGAAAACCAGAAGTGGTGCTGTGGCTCAAGTGGTAGAGCTAGCCTTTAGCTGAAGAGCTGAGGGACAGCGCTCAAGCCCCATGACTGGCAAAAAAAAAAAAAAAAAACACAAAACCATCATGTCTTCAACATTCTTAAGTAATCAGATAAAATCTGTGGTTTCTAAAAGTTGAAAGTTTGGAAAATCTTGCGCTTCCTGTGGAATTTGTGGAGGAGTTTATCTTGGAAGTTCAGAAGCTTATAGAAATACAACTCTTGATTAGTCTACTTCTCTAAAAACTCTGGACATACTTTAGTACGAGCAACCTGTGTGCTCTTGTTTTCACCTATGTACCTTTCCATCCTCCTACTACCAGAGATAGATTTTTGTCTGCTTAAGTAGGGAAATCTTGACCAGCTGTAGTCCATCTACTTTCATCTATTTTTTCAAAAAAGCTATCAGACTTTAAACTTATTATTCCCATTTAAAAGTAAAATGCCACATGCTTTGAGAAAAACCAAAGATTTGTAATACATTGTTAACTTTGGTATCTGCTGGTCATTGAAGGAAATAAATCCTCTGAATGATGTTCTTCAGGCTTATAGATATAACCAAGTAAATCAACTGAAAACTTTTTTTGTGTGTGTCCTGACCTGGGACTTGAACTCAAGGCCTGGAGCTGTCCCAGGGCTTTTTTGATCAAGACTAACGCTCTACCACTTGAGCCAACAGCTTCACTCTCAGCTTTTTTAATGGTTCATTAGAGATGAGTCTCATAGACATTATTGCTCTAGCTGGCTTTGAACCATGATCCTCAGATCTCAGCCTCCTGAGTAGCAGTAGTATTACAAGTGTAAGCCACCTGACTTCAACTGAAAACTTTTTAAGTTAGCCAATTTAGAGGCCAATATATCATTTACCTAGAAAACAAATATTCTAAAACTTCAAATACTGTCATTATTTGGTCATTTGTTTTTCTGAATGAATAAAATTTCTCTGGGGAGAGGTTCTTGTAAAAGAAAAATTTTAATGCTGGGCTACACATTTCCTATTTCAAGATAATCCTCTGCCCCTGCACAAACATACTTCCTAACATCCCTTGTATGTGATGTAAGTGAATTTGGTGGTGGTAGTGCCAGTGATGCAAATGTGTGGCTGACAATTCACAGGGTAATACTCCTCCCTGACAGCTATGAGAATTTATCTCCTAGGCCTAGTAAGTACTGATTATGCCCCCACTGAATTCATTATCTGAGCTGGGGAGTAAACTCCTAAGCTGATTAGAATTCCCATAAGGAAGGTCAAGATTCAGTTCCTTTATAAGGCTGGGAAGTTCCTTAAGCTCTTAACCTGTTCAGGAGTGGGAGGGTTGTCTGAGGAGGACATTGAAGGGGCCACATTGACTGACTCCTTGTGACTCTGTGGACAGCTGTCCATAAAGTCTTAGACCAGACCTATCTTCAAGATCAGCCATAAACACACTAATAATATGATTTCAGATCCACTGCACCTTTGATCCAAGGCTCTCTACTCACTTTTACAGTTGCTACTTCATTGATCCACTGCCTGTTCAGTAGATTATTGGTAATTATTTTTATTCCTGTTTTACACAGAGGTTAACCAAAGGCAGGACTGTAAAGAAAAAAAATAAAATATTTATTCCTGTAGTACCAACCAGGAGTAGCAAAGCTGAACATCAGTTTTCACAAACCCAGCTTCTGCTTTAACCAGCCTATTGCCATTATGAGGAGCTGAGTTTTGGAAACTTCTTCCTAAAATTATTTGATAGGTATTTAGCAGTAGCATTTTTCAGGAGGTTAGATATAAGACAGTGACTTGAAAGATTAGGAAGGGAAGTTATTTTATCCTTTAAAGCTATACACTGTAGCCAGGTGCCAGTAGCTCATGCCTGTAATTACTAATTCTAATTACTCAGGAGGCTGAGATGTGAGGATCATGTTCAAAGCCAGCACAGGCAGGCAGGAAAGTATGTGAGACTCCTATCTCCAATATGCTATTCAGAAAAAGCCAGAAGTAGTGCTGTGGCTCAAGTAGTGTACCATCCTTGAGCAAAAGAAGCTCCAGAGACAGCACTCATATCCTGAGTTCAAGCCCCAGGACTAGTACCAAATAAATTTTCAAAAACACCCTTTATGCTATAGTTAAATAAGGATAAAGTAAAAAGCAAAATAAAACTATACACTGTAATTAAGTAACTTACAAAGTTTTGGTACATGCTCCTCCTAGAAAAAAACTACCAAGGCTGGACAAGGGTACCACCTCCACTGAGTTACTGCTAGTCTAAAGAAAGCTTTGTGGTATTATATAACCAAAATTCACATTGCATTGTGCAGCTGTTTTTCTCTTTGTATAAATAGACCCTTTTATTTCCTTTCTTAAAAAAGGATCACTTTTCCACTAGGAAATGCATGGCAGTATGTCACTGCTTCTTGACTCTTACTTCAGATATTTACACTAACCTAAGACTGAGTAAGAAGTTAAAATAATGGTGTTGAGACAAAAATAATCTTAATATTTTCTTATTGTTCTCTCTTTCAGATCAACACACAATGAAATGGAGAAGAATAGGTGAGTTAGATTTTGGAGGTGGGGTATGGGGAGTTTTGATGAATTTTCTACTTTACAAAAATACTGTACTGCTCATATATCACTTAGGTAGAGGAAAAGCTTGTGTGTGTGTGTGTGTGTGTGTGTGTGTCATGGGATCTGCACTCTGGGCCTGGGCACTGTCCCTCAGCTCTTCAACTCAAGGCTAGTGCTCTACCTCTTGAGCCACAGCACCACTTCCGGCCTTTTCTGTTTATGTGGTGCTGAGGTATCAAACTGAGGGCCTCATGCATGCAAAGCAAGCACTCTACCACTGAGTCACCTTCTTAGTCCTAAAATAACTTTTTCTTGTAGAAAATTTTAAGTATATAAAAGTAGAGCAAATAATTTTATCAAGTCCTTTGCTTCCACAATTACTGGCATTTTTGCCTATGGTAGGAATCAAGTTCACCCCTTTCCACTGAGTGTTTAAAAGCAAATTTTCTCTCACTAATAAATAATATATGTGTGTCTATATGAGAGAGAGTGTGTGTATGGGACTTGAGCTCAGGGCACTGATTATTTTAGGCATGAGCCTGAAATTTACACACAAGCATGCACGCTTGCGCACGCACACAAACACACACACTCACACTGTCCAGACCTCTCAGCAATTCTGATTTAATTGGTTTGAGCTGAAACTGCACTAGTATTTTCAAGGGCTCCCCAGGTGACTCTCATGTGCAGCTAGAACTGAGAACTATTGAACAAGCCTCATCCTAGTCTCTGAGCTCCCATCAACTTGAAATGTGGGGTACCCATCTAAATTGAATGGCTTTCTCAGTGCCTTGAATGAACAAAAAGGTAATGAGTAATGATGGCACTGTAAATATGAATAGTTGTGCTGCACAAAACCCTCATTAGAAAAGGAGCTTGACCCTGAAAGTCAGGATCTGGATGATATTTAGTTTATTGGTGAAAGAGCAGTCCAGACCCTTAGCTGGCAGGAAGGATCTTGGAATTTGTTGTGTGTGATGCTAAGGGTGCCTCTCCACATATATGCTCCTCCTCATCCTGCCTTCTTCCTTGGTAATTGCTGTGATTGTGACTGACAGTGTTTGCAGTGGGAGCTTCCTTTGTGCTTTAGGGATTTACATATCATGAGCTGGAAACTCAAAAGCATCCTCTTCAAATGGGAAGGTGGTCACCTGGGGCCCCTTTCATCTTTAGACTTTCTCCCTTCTTCTTGCCTTCGCAGCAAACTCAGTAAAGTGAGACTATTTTTTGCTGAAAAGCCTCTACTTCTTCTCATCCTTGAACATTCATTTAAGTATTTGTGTTCTTATTAAAATGTCATCCCTTCAGGCTGGGGGCGATTGCCTAACATGTGTAAGGCCCTGGGTTCAGTCCTCATGAAGAAAAACTTTTTTCCCTATTTCTTCAGGTAAAGGTTCTTAGGCTTACTATAGTTTTGTACCGTGTGTGTGTGTGTGTGTGTGTGTGTGTGTGTGTGTGTGTGTTTGTATGTGTGTGTGTGTTTGTATGTGTGTGTGTGTGTGTGTTTGTGCCAATTGGGAGGTTTGAACCCAGGGGCCTAGGCATCCTGGAGCTTCTTTGGCTCAAGGCTAACACTCTACCAGGTGAGCCATAGTGCTACTTCCAGCTTTTCCAAGTAGTTTATTACAGATGAGAGTCTCACAGACTTTCCTGTCTGCGCTGGCTTCAAACCACACTCCTCAAATCTCAGCCTCTATGTTCTTCCCTTTCTTTTTGGGATTTGTCTTGTAAGGTCTTAATTCTTCGTTTGGTTTAGACCAAGAGAAGGAAATGACCCAGTTTACTTCATTTAAACAAGTATTGATTGCTGCATCCCAGAGGCAGAGGTGAACATTTCCGACCCTTTTCCCTTCGGGTGCAGATGCTTAGTCTTGGCGTTTAAACATCTTCTGTTATAGCCTGACTGGCTCTGTAGCTGACTCCTACAGAGAATACCTCTGTGTCAGAGTGGCACTTCAGCCAACTTTTGCCTTACTACGTGACATAAAAAGATGACCAGGTTCTCTAAACAAAACCAACTCAGGTAAATGAATTCTAAACGGTTATATTTTTGTCTTTGGTATTACAAAGTTGATTTCACATGGGTGTTTTTAGACAAAACCCTTTTTCTGTGCCACCTTACTTATTCAAAACAGTGTTATTGTAGGTAATGGGGACTCTACTATGAGGACATAGTATTGCCATGGTTAGGTTCCTTGACAATGGAGGGAAGATGAAAGAAAAGACATGTAAAACTGGGGTTTGGTGAACACCTCAGATGCCCTGTAGTAGGTTTGGGGGGGTACAGAGTCCAAAGAGCCTCAGCCCTCGCTATCCAACATCGTAATTATTTCCATAAGGTAAATTTATAGCTGTGGAATTAAATGTGTATAGATTTTTATAATGATTGATGTGGATTGCAAGACGGCCCACCAGGCAGGTTGCATATGGTATTTTCCTTACGCTTTCTTCTAATAGTTTGATAAGCAAAAAGTAATAACAAAAATTCATATAAGGTACTTATTTTAATTTGCATTTCATTTTCTTTTTTCTTTTCTTTTGCTTTTTTTTTGGGGGGGGGTAGAGGGCTGGTACTGGGGCTTTAATTCAGGGTCTGGGTGCTGTCCTTTAGCTTTTTAAACTCAAGGCTGACATTGTACCACTTGAGCCATGGTTCCACTTCTGACTAATTAGTAGTTAATTGGACATTAACCATTAAAAAGAGCTTCACAGACTTTCCTTCCTGTACTGGTTTTAAACCAAAATCATCAGATCTCAGACTCTTGAGTAGCTAGGATTATAGGCGTGAGCCACCAGCACACAAATGCTTTCTTATATTACTAGCACAACTGAACAGTTTTCATGGGTGTGTACACATGTCTGTATTTCCTGTTAAATAGCCTTTGTACAAGTTTCTACTAAGGACTTTACCTTTTTCTTAAAAAACAAATTCCATAATATAAAGGATATGTATAAAAGATATTACCCCCCCCTATCTATCACGTGATTGTCCAGCTTATCATCTACCTTCAGGAAGCCAGCTCTCATTGACTGAAGTCACTGCCTCTGTTTATGGCTAAGTTTATGGCTAAGTCTGTTTCTAGACTTGGTTTTGTAATCCATTAGCCCATTGGTTCTTTCTATGCTCGTTTATAATGTTTAATCATTGAGGTTTTAGCATGCAGTTCAGGATCTGGTAAAGCACATCTGTGCTCTTCTTCCTTCCTTTTTTTTTTTTTTTTGCTATTAGCTATTTTCAGCAGTTATTTTTCTGACAATTTTTTCCTTGAACTCAGGGCTCTATACTTGCGAGGCAGGTACACTACAACTTGAACCACATACTTTTTGCTTTTGATTTATTTTTTAGGTTCTCATGTTTTTGCCCAGGTTGGCCTCAGACCACAATCCCTTGTAACTGGGTTTACAGGTGTGAACCACCATACCTGCCTTATTTGTTGGGATGAGGGAAGTCTCACTAATTTTTTTGCCTGAGCTGGCCTCAAATTGCTATTCTCCTTATGTCTTTCTCCTGAGTATATGGGATTACAAGTGCAAGCTATGGTACCTAGCTTTTCTGACAATTTTTTAATCAGCCTATCAATTCCTTATCCCTTGATTTCTTTTTTTTAAATAAAAATAGGATAATTCCAGTATAATTTTTTTCAGCACTGGAGCTTGAACTGAGGGCTTTTGGGGCAAGCACTATGCCACTTAAGCCATGCCTGTAGCCCCAACATGAGGCCCCAACATGTGTAATTAATATTACACATGAGGTATTTCCATCCAGGATTTATTATGTATATTAACTTATGAAGGCCTCTCTTCTGTCTCTAAAGTTTTGAATTTTGTAGTGTTTCAATATAAGTTTTGCACATCTCTTACCAAAGATATCCCAGGTTTATGTAACTTTATATTATTGGCTTTTGTTGTTGCTTTGCCAGTCCTGGAGGTTGGACTCAGGGGTCTGAGCTCTGTCACTGAGCCTCTTTATGTTCCAGGCTACTACTACTCTATCATTTGAGCCACAGCACCACTTCTGGCTTTTTTCTGAATAGTCTATTGGAGTCTCACAGACTTTGTCCCAAGCTGGCTTTGAACCATAATCCTCAGATCTCAGCCTCCTGAATAGCTAGGATTACAGGTATAGGCCACTGGCACTAGCTATGATTACTTTTTGTAATAGTTAATTAATTATTGTTAGACTATAGGAAATTTTTTACGCCTTTGCCATTATGTGTTCTTTATTGATAATAATTCTGCTGCATTTTCCTCTTTGTTGAGAATTACACTGGTTTAAATACTTTTCGATGAAGTTACAGCAAATACAAACTGGGCTGCAGCCAATAGTCAGCAGTCAGAATGAACTCTTCCAAAAGAAGATTCTAGTATCTCCTTTAATAGTAGAGATGCCCTTTTTTTTTTCTTTTTTTTTTCTGGAATGGCAATGTGCAGGCCTTTCTGGAATTAGGCAGCTGCTCTAGAGAGATCACCTCTGTCAGAGTCTTTTGACCCTATGACAAAAGATTTGTGTTTGTGTTCTGTGGGAAGACTCGGCGCCTGGCCTAAACTGGTGCTTCCATTTGGTCAAGCAGGATTTCAGTGGCATCTCATCTGTATGAGAAAAGATTTCAATAGGACTCTTTTTTTATTTACTTATTTTTGGCCAGTCCCGGAGCTTGAACTCAGGGCCTGGGCACTGTCCCTGAGCTTCTTTTGCTCAAGGCTAGCACTCTTCCACTTGAGCCGTAGCACCACTTCCAGCATTTTCTGTTTATGTGGTACTGAGGAATCAAACCCAGGGCTTCATGCATGCTAGGCAAGCACTCTACCACTAAGCTACATTCCTAGCCCTCAGTAGGTCTCCTTTGAAAGACTGTTATAACTAATTGCAGGTTCCTGTAGTTATTTCTGTTGGGGGTTTTGACGTTTCAAATGAGCAAGCTCTTTATATTGGACAGGCTGTGGTATGCATTGCACCACTCTGACAGCTGTTTGTTTGTCTGGGA